AATTGGAAAAATCTTCTTCCGTCCATCAAATGAGCTCGCCATGAGTAGCACTCCTTTATACTTCCTAGTAAGAAATGTTCCATCAACAACCATAACGCCTGGACAATTCTTGAATCCATCTATACTCGGTCCATAAGCCCAAAATACTCGCTGAAATATTGAATGACCTGGTTGAGTCGAAGGAACTCTTACCCAATGAATCACCGATGTTGGCATTTTTCTCTTGACCACCCGCAAGAATGTTTGCAAAAAATCATAGGATTCTTCCCAATTTCCATGCAACTTCTCCAATGCTCTTTGTTTCCCATACCAAGCCTTCTTGTAAGTAACTTGCATATTAAACTTATCTTTCAACTCGGCCTGAACAGTTAGAACACTCAGATTTGGTTGGGCACGTACCAAGTGTTTGACGGCCTCAGATATCACGTCGACATCAAGATGGCGATGATCCGTCGGTTGAGTCGTACTGCTACAAGTATGCACCAACTCGGCCTTTCTCACGCTCCAATCGCCTCCCATTTCTCGACATCCAAACCGCACCATCCAAGGACATTTGTCCTCCTTGTGCATCAAACATCTGATCTTCCAGATTGAAGGTGGCGACTCCACCACGTTATACTGAAAGTTGCGTTGTAGTGCATAGTGTTTCATCGCCACCTGTGCAGCTTGTTTCGAGTGAAATATTTGCCCCTTGTAGAATTCTCCATCAAAACCACCAACAGTAGACCCTGGAATTACGCCATATGAATCAGCATATGATAATTCCTCGTCCTCTTCATTACCCTGCAAGTAAAAATATGGAGGAAAATTAGGTTGTTCTCCTCCCTCCCCGTCGTCGTCGTCGTCCTCCTCCTCCTCCTCCTCATCGTCTTCCTCATCTCCGTCATCACCGTCATCATAATCATGATCGGATGGCATGCTCCATGTGTCATCATCGTCATCATCGTCTTCCTCTCCACCCCGATTCTCACTGAGCTCAGCATGTATCTCAGCACCCAAACAATAAGGATTTTGTGCCATAAAATTCCAAAGCACATTTAAGCTATCATCATCGACAATAGGCATTGCATAATGAAATAAAACACCATTCTGCCATTCTGGAAGACAGTAGGTGAAACCTGTAATCACAACACTATCTTGTACTGTTTCGTCTCTAATCCGTATTCTCCGAATTAGATGATCACAAAGTTTCTGATAGTTCACCCTGGATGGAATAGTCATCTGGAAACTAAGACCACCAACAAAATGGACACCCAAATTGTCTTCTACTTTCTCTGATCGCCACCGAACAGCTAGTTCAAATCTTCTAAAATCACTACATAAAAAACAAACTCACTAATTACATTACTAACTAGACAAAATCATTATGATGAATACATGAAAAAAAAATTACGCCTCTTACCTGTTATTAGCCATCTTCCCAGCAACCAGACAGCAACACCAGAGATTCTTTCAGAACTTCTTTCAGTTTTTTGGTGATGAAGAACCGAAGGAAAGGTGCAGTATATATGGTGAGGGGTGGTGCTGGAGTGGAACAAAATGGCAGTGATAAAGCCCCAGTCTGGGGCGCCGTCGCTATTACCTTCTATAAAGCGACAAAGCCCCAGTCTGGGGCGGGGGCGCTATGTTTTTTTTGTTAAAAAAGCACCCAGCGGTGGCGCCTGAGTCCAAGGCTTTGGCGCTTTAGACATATCAAAAAACACAATATTGTTGTAAATACTTTTAAAAACACAATATTCGTGGTAAATTAAAAAAAACAATATTTAGGGAATTAACCCTCCTTTTCCCACGCTATTACTCTATTAGTAACTAGGTAAAAAATAGGAGATTTAAGATTAAAATATCATTTTAGTCTACTCGAAAACATAAATAGCTGCAATTTAAGACCGGAATATATTTTATGCATAACTTAGAGGTGAATAATCCAATCAGAATCCGCTACATCAGCACATTATTTCTCCTGGAAAGTTTTTAATCTTTTCCCCTTTAATATTTGATGGACAATTTCTCTCTTGTTTTAAGTCAAAATTTAAATTTTTTGCCCAGATAAATCAGATCAATTGTGTTCTTCAAAATAATATAAACTTTGATATATTTTTGGAACAAAAAAAATGAGTCTTTTTTTACCAGTCTATACCATGGTGGTATTAACTAACATTAAAATAAGAGCATACCATATGGTATAAAAGCGTATCATGGTGGTATGAACTTACCAATGCCGTAGAATGGTTGAATACATGATAGTAGGAGTATACTAACTGTCATTTACGACTTTCAACATTGTGTACCACAAGATTCCACCCTCCCTCCCAGGGTGGTATAGTATGGTATTTTATTGTCCTGTATTTGGTTCGCCCAGAAATTTGTAGATCCAATAGATCATGATGAACTTGTTCTTTCTGTGCAAAAAAATTTTCAGAAACGACTTAAAAACGAAGTAGATACCATATGGTATACAGTTGATAACGAGAGGTATGAAAAATAAATTCTCAAAACAATATTAAAAATGGATCTCATTTTGTTGATCACAACAAACTCGTTCCATGTGCAAAAAGAATTGAAATTCGAGTCAGAACGAAAAAGATAAGAGTCGATTAAGAAAACTAGAAAAATAAAATACCTTTAAATCTTCACCCTTAGATATGAATTTTCTGGGCCCACTAAAAAGGAAAAGTCCAAATTTAGTTATACAAGGATGCATAATTATGCACCCTATCCAGAGCCATTTAAGACTATAATTTTTTGTTTACCGTTTAATAATTCTCACTTATAGAGGAACTCACTAAAGACTAATAAATGAGGTTATAAAAGTTGTTCTAGTGAACCAACCCCGTGCAGAGCAATAGGCACAAGGAAAGAGCAATAGACATGACCGGCCTAAAAAACGAGGTCTAAAGTTGGGCAATGCCTAAAGTAGGCTCTTAAAGTATGGGGAGACAAGAGGCGTAGGGTAGGTCAGATGCAAGTGGATCGGAGGCAAGGTCTGCAGGGTTTATAATTACTCCTCTTGCTATAGGACGTTTGTCTAGCCAATATTTAGATTCAACAATATCCAAACTTTTCTAGTTCACTCCAGCATGCCCTACCTGTCCAATGGAAAACCCTCTATATGTTCTTATGCAGATGGCAAACAAACCTTTCTTTTTTTGTTTCAATAGGACCTTTTACGAGTGTTGGATTTATTGGCTTGATTTGTACGATAATAAATACGAAATAAAAGAAGGATCCTTCTTTTGGGAATTAGATTCTATTCTTTGTCTCCCCTCTTCACAGAAAATGGAAAGATGAATTTTCTTGAGTTGGTATTTAAATGGGATCTCCAATAGTTGGAAACAATAGATTCATATGAGAAAACATATGTAAACGAGACTCCACTTGAGCCTCCAGCGCTAAAGGTACATGAACGTGAGTGAAGAAGGGCAATGTCGCATATTTTATTTTGTGGCACGAGTGGAGACAGGTTGAGTCATATATATTTTACAGGAAAAAGGTTTGAGACAGTGTTATTTTTCACTAAAAATCAAGATGCAAATAATGACATGATAAATGAAGTTCAATTAAGATCTTATCTGTCTACAAATTTATCATAGCTAAAATATATGTAATAAAAGTAAAATTCTAAATTCTAAGTAATTTGAGTACAATTGTATATAATTTAGACAAAATGAATCCAAAATGGGATGTGTCAAGGCAAATAAGGTCAAAGCAAGTATCCATTTGCGCCTCACCCGCTTGCGGAAACGTCAGCGCCCAATTATTACCCACCTAAAACAAGTTGGACGGATCAAATAGGACGTACCATATCAAAATTGTAGGACGTTCATCTAGAGGTGGAAGTCGGTATGATATCGGTATTTCAGTACCAAATATCAAAATCTCAAATACTAAATAGTGCTCTAAAATCAATGATCCCAAATAAATTCACCATACCCTCCCAATCCCAAATATTTTTGAATGGTATTTGTATTCCTGAATACCAAATTAAATACCTTCGCAATTAATAAAATATACACATAAATTCATAAGGATTCGAATTTCGAACGCCTCTAATATTGAACTTTTTTATATGGTGTAGACTTGTAGGTGTAATTCCATTATTGAAAACCTTGGCGATGGGAAGTTGAGGTGAGAAAAGTTTAACAAATACTTATTAAAGTCCCCATTGAATGAAATCAATCATAGTCTCCACTGAATGAGTTTATCACAGGTGCCCATTTGAGTTTGTCTGATGTTAGGGAAGGGACAAAGAAAAAGGGAATGAGATGTTGATATTTCAATTTATTGTCTTTGGTAATCTTTGATTCGATGAAATGGAGGTTGAGAAACAAATAAAGAGAGTGTTCGTTTTATGTGTTCTTAAAACAATAAGATATGAGAGTAAACTAAGAAAACTTGGTAGCTAAACTTAGATTGGATAGGGACTTACAAGTAGTCGAACTATGAGCAATGACCAAAAGTTGTGAATTGTATCTAAGTAATTGTATTTTAGGTATTTCTCAGCATTTCAGTATAATATCGATCTCAATTCCGAATGCCCAATAACATCCTAAAATTCGTCTCAATCCCAATCCTAAAAAATAACTCAATATTTATTTTTTATTTTTTGTGGGAGGAAAAACTCAATATTTGGTATATTTAGTATGTTCCAAATACCGGCACCAAACTTCCTGTCCAAATTCATCAATGTCTTTGAGTGGCACTAGTCGTGTTAGATCATCTCCATCCCCAACTTTTAGCAATTGCTAAAGGTGAGGTGGAGTTTAGGTGGCAAAAACTTAGAAATGGTTCGGGATGGGGGAGTTATTTCTAAACTAGCAAGATTGCTAAATTAGCATTTGAGCAATTCTTCTAGCAACGTCACATAGATAATTATTTTCTTTTTCTTACTCATTAACTTTTCAATTGATAAGTGTTAGAGTAGATTTGAAATAGTAAATAGGACCCAATTTGGCAATTGCTAACACATTTTAGGGATGTTGATGAGTAGAACTTGCTAGGTTAATAATTGCTAGATTTAATTATGTGGCGGTAGAGACCACATTTAAAAATTGCTAACCAATTTTAGGGATGATTTAAATTGCTGACCAATTTTAGGGATGAAGATGGTAATGCATAGCCAAAGGGCTAAACTAAGCATTGATCCGGATTCCAGACAAAGACGTGAGGCGAAGAATCCATGGCAAGAGCAAAAACAAAACAAGGTACAACACTAAATCACAATCGGGTTCGAACAGGGAAAGATTGTCGTTGCTAAAGCAATGGGAAGGATAATTGAACACTTCATTCCAAAACCCCTATATAACTGCCAGCGAACCCTACAATCTTTAATCAAACTGTTGCCTAAGTGTCATTTCTGTTTCACTCTTCCAAGTTGCATGGGATGACTGCCCTTTCATCCTCTTACTCTTCTCCTTATCTTTGACGGCAGATCCCTTTCGTTTGCCTTCCTGACTTGCATCGTTGGGTGGTCGATCACCACATTGAGGACATGTAATTCCAGTGCTGTTGGAGAACGTTTTAGGGATCCCACATTGCGAACACAACCTACCGACAATAAAAAAACAAACAAGAAGAAGTCTTTCAAGTTTATATATTCAGTTTCAAACAAACCAAGACGAGTGGGCTTCTTGTCGAGAAATGGTTAGTGCCAAAATGAAATCCACCCTGCATGCCATCAGATACAGTATTAATGAAATGTTCAAGATTTTTACCTCAATAGCTCAGCAGCATCTTCAGCTCCGGGATTGGCTGCACCAGCCACACGCTTTCCTCCTCCATCGGTTGTGCTAGCGACAGATGATGCTTGTGATTGACTACTCTGGATATCACTCCTTACTCGCTCATGTATTCCAACAAGTTGAGGTTTGGACTCCAAGACAGCTCCTACACAGAAGATGAGACAGTTCATAGCGATCATATGCATAATAGTTCTCAATCAATACCTTTGAAATGCAGAGGTTTCACAAAATCAATACTCAATGTCAGCTAGATCTGGCCTTTTTGCAAAATCAATCCCGTGACAGGACATAAAACTGAATTCTCGAGAGGCAAATAAATGATGAAGCATCCATTCCTTACCAGGTGTTAAGCACATAACTAAATTTAGGCACAAATGAAATGCAGCAGATCAATGGGCGAATGTCGGAGGAACAAGCAGAGAACAGAAACATAAGCTGCATTCTTTCGACAACGAAGAAACCATATTTGCAGACATGAACACCATTAAAGTTTCCACTTCCATGAACACTAGACCTACCATTACAAACCTAAAAGCTTAAACAAAACCAAGAAAGACAAGGCAAAGTATGCGAGTTAAGTGAGAAGAGCACGTAGTAAGGAACTCAAAGCAGAAATATAAACAACTAGAATGGGTGTCAGCAAACGTCTATCAACTCGTACAAGTCGTTCGTTCCAAGAATGCAATGATACAGATGATCATTGTAACTTCTGATGTTGGTTACTAACTTATACACGATGATACTTGGGGGGCTCATAATCAGTGTTAGCCATTCTCGAATGGGTGAAAACTTACATGTGCCTCTGTCAACCAACCATTGCCTTTCTGTTTCTAACAAAGCCAAGGCAACTTTCGCCTAAAACCTCATCGTCAACAAATCGATTACAAATTCAATTTCAAGTTCACACTTCCATCGATATGAGCCCATGAACAGTAACAACAACAACAACAACAACCAAAAAGCCAATTGCAAAAAGTGACCAGCAATGTTACCTGAGGGCAGCTCTTTTTTCTCTTTGCGAGCCCTCCAACGGCCATGCCTTGGTTGTTGGAAATCAGTGCCTCTACCAGCGACATTCCCCTCCACGGAGTTGTTAAGGAACTGTGGCGGCGCTGAAACCTTCAACAAGCCAAAAAAAGAAGCAGAAAGAGAAAAGCTATAAGTCGTTGACGTCCAGATGTGACCATCGAGAACAAGGAGATTCGCGGCAGGGGATGGGATTCTACCTTGGAGAAAGCGTCGAGAGCAGAGGGAAGCCCAGAGGACGAATTGGGAGCGTCAGAAGAGTCGTAGACCGATCTGTAGGAGAGATGGCGGGTTTCGGCACCACGAATGCCCGAGGAAGTGCCGTTTTCTTCTGTTTCTCCTTCGTCGTCGGAGAATATGTAATCTTCGGCCGACGGAGTGTGAGGGTTTTCTTCTTCATCTTCCGCCGAAGAGTAGCTCTGGATAAGCCCCAAGCTCATTTTGCCGGAATTACAATTGAATTTGAGGCGAGATGGAGAAGCACCGGCTCTCTTTTCCAGCCACTATCTGCTTGGGTTTCTAGGTTTTCGGGGTTGCCCTCTTTCTTTGTCTCTCCGGTAGGGCTGCAAACGAGTCGAGTCGAGTCGAGTTTTTGCTTAGCTTGAGTTCGGCTCGTTTATAAATTTTTTAGCTCGAGCTCGGTCGAACTCGAATTTTGATTATCCAGCTCGAGCTCGAGCTCGACTCGATTAAAAATAATCCAGCTCGAGCTCGGCTCGATAGAGCTCGGTAAATGCTCATTAACACAGCTTGTCAAGCTGAGTACAAGCTCGGCTCAAGATAAGCTCGATTTGAAACCATTCTTGCTAAAAAATGTGTACAAATAAGAACATTAGAAATTAAAAATAATAAAAAGAACACTAGAAACTAAAAATAACATCTAACTTCCATACACATCCTTATTAAAAATATAATTTTCATGTTCAGAAGAGTAATTAATCCTTCCACAAATTTTAAACAAGCCAGCTCACGAGCTTAGCTCAACAAGCCACCGAGTCAAGCTAGCTCACGAGCTTATCAAGCCGAGCATGGCCTAGCTCAAGCTTGGCTCGTTTACTAACGAGCCGGCTCGCGAGCTAGCTTGTTAAACAATGAGTCGAGTGTCGAACGAGTTTTTTCCGATTCGAACGCCGAGTTGCTCGCGAGTAGCTTGGCTCATTTGCAGCCCTACTCTCCGGGAAGAGGAATTTTCAGTGCTATAAGTTTTTCATACAACATAAAATTGTAATTTAATGTTATAGTAAAACTTTACATTATACCTATATTTTTTATAAAAAAAAAATGGTACAAATTCAAGTTGTACCTTCGAATTTTACCAACCTCATATTCATTCCCTAGCCAGCCAGTTCTACAACCAGGTCCTCGAAATCTCCTATCTTCTCCTTCCTCCTCCACCCCGCAGCTCTACTCCCAAACCATCCTGCCACCTCTTGGGTCCCTCCGCCAGAGGACTTTTTGAAGATCAACTTCGATGCTGCTGTTTGTGCCACCGGGTGTTCGTCTGGGCTTGTTATCTGTGGGTCAGACGGGCATGTGGTGTTGGTGTTTGGGCTGCAACTTCAAGGAATAGTCAATCATTTCCTGGCAGAGCTTCTAGCCTTTAGAGATGCTATCTCCATCGTAGCCTCAAGATCCTTGACCCGCGTGATAGTCGAAGGTAATTCCGAAGTGATCGTCAAACTTGTTCGTCAAGGCGTCGTAGAAGACTTGATTGGTGGTCCGGTGTTACGAGAGTGTCATCAGATCCTTAGCTCTTTGTCTGTTTGTATAGAGTTTAGGGCGGTACCTAGATCCGTCAACAGTGCTGCCCATAGAGTGGCTCTTAAAGCACTGCTTTTGTCTCGTTTAGAGGTAGAATCTTTTGATTTTTTGGGGTGGCTTCTTTAGAGTCTTTTAGGGGTCCCGGGTAGAATTGTAAGTTTAATTATTTTCTTCCATTTATATCACTCAGAAATAAAAAAAAAGTTGTACCATAACATAATCATAATCATACAAATTTCTTTATGGTACAACCTAAACTTATACATTTAATATTATGGTATTAATTCAAGTTGTACATTAAAGCACCAATGTTATATAGCATAGTAGAAGTGCTCCTCCGGAAAATATTCTCTCGGTGGGAGAAGAGAGGGAAAATTAGTGACTTCTATCCCGAAAAGGTTAACGATACGGCAAAAAATCAAATTAGTAAATTACCCTTCCGTGACCTGGGCAACTTGGTATGTGCAATGTGTTAGAGCATTTCACATCAATACGATTGTTTTTGTAATTGTATTTGTGTCCTTTTAATTTTTCTCGACTTTTTTGGTCAAAAGTTATATAGTCTAGCGGCGAAGGTTCGTGGTCGCTCGTTTTGGAAGATCTCGTGTTCAAACCCACCCACCCATCCCTCCTCTCCTCTCTCCTCTCTCCTCTCAAGGCTCGAGGCTTGCTTTAGTGTTCCTGAATGCATGTTTGGCTATTGGGGGCAAAGCCCGCTAGCGCATAATGAGCGCAGGTGACCCCTAGTACTTAGATTTGGTTTTGCCCTGGCATCAAAAAATGTGGTGTGTGTGGGGATGTTCTTGAGTTATAAAATAAACCTTTTGTAATGCAACTCACATTACTTTTATTCACCTACATCAATGCAATTAACTTGCAATTGCATATGTGAGTTCTAACTTATTTTCTTAATAAAATAAAAAGACAAAAAAAACCCAATAAAAATTGGCGGATGCCTACGTGGAATTTGCAAATGGAATTGCATAAAAGGTAGTTCGCATTATTATAATTGACACTTCCATCAATGCAACTAAAAATGCATCTGCATTTTCGTTGTCATGTCACTTTGCAATTCAATATAGTAGGTTGATGTGGATGCTCTCAAATATGCAATTGCAACTCACGTTTTAATTGCATTCACTTACATCAATGAAATTAACTTGTAATTGCATATTTGAGGCTAAATTATTTTTTATGAAATAAAAGGTTTATCAAAAGAAAAAACCAAATAAGAGAGAGAAAAATTGCAAATGGAATTGCATTTTATGGTAGCTTGCATAAATGCAATTAAGATTTTTCATCCATGCAATTAAAAATATAATTACATTTTCATTGTCACATCACTTTGCAATTCATTATGAAAGTTTAATGTTGATGCTTTTATCATCTTGACCACCAAATCGATAACTTTTTCTAGGTGCCCACACTAGAAAATATTGTTTTGCGTAAAAGTTTTGTGTCGGTTGCTTTTTTGTGTCAGTTACATTTTGTATCTGTTGCAACCGACACAATAATGCATTTTTTTGGAGGATTTAGTTTCTAGTTATCGTTGTCGGTTCGAACCGACACCAATTTTTGAATTAATCGATTATAGGTGACACTAAATAAAATTATTTTTAGGAGGGTTTTAGCAGGTTTGGCAGACTTCGCATCGGTTAAATGAACCCACACAAATAATTTTAGTGCCAGTTAAAACCAACAGAAATAAATAAAATTCCCAATGTTAAATGGCATTTTTCTTGTAGTGTCATTTTTGTATTTTCGTCCAGTAGTGCGTGAATTTATTAAAATTTTGTCAACCTTTTCTTATTTATTAGAGTTCTGCTTATGGTTTGTATTATCATATGATCTTCTATAAGATATAGGTGGGAGCTATCGAGAAAAAAACAATGTGCTTTGTTATCTTATTCATTTATTATAGTTCCTCTTTTTTATTGTTATTATCATATGACAACATTGTAACAACTAATAAAACAGAAAGAATAGATTTTAATATAATTTGGCTATTTTTAGCATAAGAATCCATCAAGTTCCTTCTCAAAACAATCATATATGTTACATATATATTCGGGTCAAACAACCAATTTCAGGTTGGGATAGTTGAGTCACACATTAGTCATTTTACAGATCAATCGAATTGATGGATTGCTACGGTCGCGTGTCGATCAGGTTACGCAACAGTAACTTTTAGTCAAAACAAACGAGCAGGTTGCAGATCGGACATGTTATATTTTGACATATCTAGTTACAAAAGGCAAAAATGGTCATGTTGCATAATATGAGCGAGTTAAATGTGAAAATTGGAAAATGAGTCGACTTAGTGATTAAGTTGCACTATATAGTTGAGTTCAGTGCCCATTTTGTATTTAACCGTAAATTGTAAAATAATCTAAACGCGGAAAATAGATGATACTCGATTTACGTGGTATCCCCGGGAAACCGGGACTAATCCACGAAGAGCAGAGCCCTCATGCTGAAGTTTCACTATGTGTTGGAGAGTACGATTGCAATCTTTGTGTTAGGGTCGCCGAGACTGACCACAAACCCTTTTATACCCAGCAACATGCAACGTGGGTAGAAAGGAGAATTACAAAGAAGCCCCAAAACAATACAAAATGGACAGCAAGGTCCAATACTCCCCCTCAAACTGGAGCGTGAATGTCACAAACGCCAAGCTTGGACAGTAAGTGGTGGAATTGCTCAGTTCCCAACGCCTTCGTAAACAGATCCGCCAACTGAGAGCTAGTGTGGACCTTCTGAGGCTGAATGTCTGCAGACTGCACACGCTCGCGAACGAATTAGCAATCCATTTCCACATGCTTGGTACGCTCGTGAAACACCGGGTTAGCTGCGATGTAAAGAGTAGCTTGATTGTCGCAGTAGAGGATAGTGGGAGCAGGTTGCGGAACTCGCAGCTCTCCAAGGAGAAATCGAAGCCATAACACTTCACTTGTAGCACTAGCCATGGCGCGATATTCGGCTTCAGCTGAGGACCGCGCGACAACCCGTTGTTTCTTGGAACGCTAGGAAACGGGGGCACCACCCAACTGAATATAATAACCTGTCATGGAACGACGATTCGACTGACAGCCAGCCCAATCGACATCACAATATGTCGTCAATGTCAGGGAACTAGTGGACAGTGGGAAGAGCACTTGCCTGGGAGCAGCCATGAGATAGCGAAGAACGCGATGAGCTGCAGCCATGTGAGCATGCACGAACTAGCTCAGGATACTGACGGAGTAGGCGATATATGGTCGGGTAATGGTGAGGTAGAGAAGACGACCAACCAGATGATGATAGGCACTAACATTATCGGCACGCTCGTCAGTGGGACGAGTGAGGGTGTGATTCTGCTCCATGGAAAAACCACTAGGGCGAGCAGCATTGAAACCAGCACCTGCCAAAATGTCCAGCGTGTACTTACGTTGACAAAGAACAATGCCTTCCGGTGAGCGTGCTACCTCGATGCCCAAGAAATATTTGAGCGGACCCAAATCCTTAATGTTGAAGCGATCATGCAGGAAAGTCTTCACACGAGATATGCACTCATCGTTGTCCCCTGTAAGCACAAAGTCATCAACATAGATCAAAGTGACCACATACACACCGGTGGTCTCGTAGATAAACATAGAAGGGTCGGTGCGAGACACGGTAAAACCAAATTCCAGTAAAGCAGCTGTGAATTGAGTGTACTAATTTCTTGATGCCTGATGAAGTCCATAAAGTGACTTCCACAGACGGCAAACACGGTTGTCTCCCAGCTTAACAAACCCTTGCGGAAACTTCATGTAGACTTCCTCGTCGAGTTCCCCATGCAGGAACGCGTTATTCACGTCTAGCTGATGAAGTGACCATCCCTTTTGAGCTGCGACAGCTAGAAGAACATGAACAGTAATCAATTTCGCAACAAGAGTGAAAGTGTCATGGAAATCGATGCCCTCCAACTGCATAAATCCATTCGCAACAAGTCGAGCCTTATAACGCTCAATAGTCCCATCGGGCTTGTACTTGATCTTGTACACCCACTTGGAGTCTATAGCATGCTTTCCTGGAGGTAATAACTCGAGTGTCCACGTCCCATTGGCCTCCAAAGCGTCAATCTCGCGTTGCATAGCATCACGCCAGTGTTGGTAGCGAACGCCTTGAGAGAAGTGGCGAAGCTCAACGTACGATGCCATGGCAGCCAAGAAATCACAATAGTTAGCCAAAAAGCGTTGATAACCAACATAGTTGGAAATAGGAAACTGAACGGAGTTAGAGGAAGATCCGGGTAATTGTACCTCATAGGGATTCAGGTAATCGGGGGGATGCATGTTCCGTTCGGGATTACGCTGTGGCTGGACGACGGGTGGGATCACAACGGGCTCGTCAGGGACCGCTTCATCAGAAGCAAGGTTCTCCACGGTATCGGGACTGGTCGCAGATGTCGGGGAAAGTTGCGAAGATGAGGACAATACTGCATCCTGGTCCCTATGCGACCTCGATTCCAAATATATCTGGGGAGGAGAGTCAATGCCAACCTGGTCAACATCATCATCGGCAACAAAAACCTCCCCCTAATCACAAGCACTTTGCATGTTGTGCATGGAGATATCATGCACGTCCATTTGATATGGGAAAGGGGACTCCGGTGCTGATGATAAAGTCTCGAGGAAACGCGGGTCACGAAAGGGGAAGTAGTGCTCTACAAAGTGTACGTTGCGTGAAACCAAGACTTTACGAGCTTGCAGATCAAAGATACGATAGCCCTTTTGATTACTCGGATAACCTAAAAAAATGCCAGTCTCCCCCTATCAGCGAATTTATCGTGACCGTGATGCGTATCCTTGGCGTAGGCTAGGCATCCAAAGGTGCGTAGGTGAGAGTAAGTGGGCATACGCCCAAGAAGAATCTCGAAGGGCGTCTTCATGGAGATGACTGGCGACGACATTCGGTTGATCAAATACGCGGCAGTGACGACACAGTTTCCCCAAAACCGCACAGGAAGGCCAGCATGCAACAAGAGAGCGCAAGCTGTCTCCAAAATATGTCGATGTTTGCGCTCGACAACTTCGTTTTGCTGAGGGGTGTCGGTGCATGAAGTTTGGAGAAGGATACCCTTCTCCTCGTAGTACCGTCGGAGAGAGGTAGTATGGAACTCGAGGTCATTATCGGCTTGGAGACGCCTAACCGTCTTGCCATACTGCGTTTGAGCTAACTCGCAGTGCATCTTCACATAGCGTTCTGCGTCGGACTTGAATTTCATAAGATAACCCCAAGTGGAGCGACTGTAATCATCCATAATGGTCAGGAAAAATCATAAACCATCAAGAGCAGGAGTACGATATGGTCCCATATGTCGAGATGTAAAATATCAAAACAAGAAGAGGTCTTGATTGAGCTATGAGAAAACAGATTTCGTGTCTGTTTAGCACGCAAACAGGGATCGCAATGGAATGAATGCCAAGAATCCAAACTACAACCAAGGGAATCCTTCAATAAAACAAGTCTATCAAATGAAATGTGTCCCAATCTGGAATGCCATAAGTCTGCAGTCTCTGTCTTGTTCGCTGCCTTGCAAGCTTGAGGATGAAACCCGCCAGAGAACCAACTGAAGTAATAGAGGCCATCTCACAGCCTACATACGCAAATCAGCGTCCTGGAAGGTAAGGCATGTATCACACAAAAGTCATGAATGAATACCACTGCAACGTCATGATCACGTGTCAAACGACTAACAGACAGTAGGTTACACTTGAACCCATGCACATGAAGTACACGATTTAGTCTAAGAGAATCCAACAACTACACATAACCAACCCCATGAACCGGGATTGCCGATCCATTGGGAATGTGAACTTTAGATAGCCCCATTATAGTATTGATAGAATCCAGCCAACGCGCATCCCGAACTATATGCTCGTTGCAACCTGAATCAATTAACCACTTAAAAAGGTCAGGATGATTACCCGCCATGTGTGTCGTAGAATCAGGAGTGGTCTCGGGAAGAGGAGAAGACAAGAACTGCTTCAAGGACGCAAACTAAGCTCCCGTTAGGCCAGGAATTGGGTTGTTGTCGCTGCTGTCCCCAGTCTCAGGCTCGACGTGAGCAGCTTGAGGGCGACTCTGGTTGAGGTTGCCCCAATTCTTGCCCGACTTAGCACGAAGATGCCCAAGAGAAAAGCCTATCAGCCGATAGCATATCTCCCTCGTATGGCCAAGTTTATTACAATTGGTGCACCGAGTTTTTTCAATTTCCTCCTTCCTCCCTTTGTCAGTCTGCGCTTGGAACACAACTATATCCACGATAGGACGGCGTCCATTAGTGAGCAAACGATGCTGTTCTTCAGCGGCAACAATTTGATATGCTTCATTCAAAGTTGGCACAGGTTTCGTGCTAAGAATCTGAGAGCGAACGAAAGCGTAGCCATCATCCAACCCAAGTAAAAACTCGAACATGCGTTCGGTTTCTTGCTTTTCATGGTTTTGCGCCACCAAATCACAGCTACAGCCGTCACAAGTGCAGCCATTACACACACACCGTGGCACACTACCGACCGCATCCATCTCATCCCAGTAGCCACGAAGCTTGGTGTAAAAGGCTGAAATGGACCGCTTGTCCTGGCGAAGCGAGCTGATCATGCGACGAAGTTCATATGCGCGCTGAGCAGACCCGCGGGTGAACCGCTTTTGTAAGTCGACCTAAATAGCTCAGGGCGTGGTAGCCATATGGACGTTGTTTCTTGCCTCGCGCGTCATGGTCGTCTTCAACCAACCCTTAACGGTGGCATCACATCTATCCCAGGCCTCATGACGACGATGAGTCCCCACTTTGGTGCGCGGCAAGGAGCCATCTACTAAAGCCATTTTATTCTTGGCCACGAGGGTGTCGGTGAGATCATTGACTCACTCACCATAGTTCAGATCCGTGATCAAATCACTGCCAAAGAGTTGTGCTGGGTTCTCGGATGGATGTAGGTAGAGAGGCAAACTGATCGGAATAACCTCATCGTCGGTAGAGGCGCTTGATTTGCCGTCGATAGTCTCCTCTTCCTTCCCCATGACGAAAAAACCTAATAGTTGAAACTTACTGCTCTGATACCATGTAAAATAATTTAAACGCGGAAAATAGATGACACTTGATTTACGTGGTATCTCCGGGAAACCGAGACTAATCCACGGAAAGCAGAGCTCTCATGCCGAAGTTTCACTATGTGATGGAGAGTACAATTGCAATCTTTGCGTTAGGGTTGCCGAGACTGACCACAAACCCTTTTATAAGGCTGACTATTTGGTCTGGACTGTTTGATTTTACTCAAAACCGAACCGTATAACCCAGACCGGGACCGGACTGGGACCGAATAGCAAACAATCCAATCTCATATTCTGGCTTAGATTTGAGGTAAAAAAAACCGGATAAAGACCGGATAAGAGACCCCAACACTCAAATCCCCACAAGCTCAATCTAAAATCAAGATCAAATTGCGAGCAGACCGGGTCAATACCGGACAGAATCAAGACCGGACTGTATCCAATCCAATCTTTGATTCTTATATTCCCAAAAAAACGAACTGCAACCGAATCAATTTGGTCCAATTTAACTGGACCGGACAGTATAGCCACCCCTAACCTTCTATACCGAGCAACATGCAACGTGGGTAGAAAGGGGAGAATTACAAAGAATCCCCAAAACAATACAAAACGGACAGCAAGGTCCAATATAAATGGTTCACCATTGCCATCGAGAGAGACCTGTTCGTTAATCGTTATAGTTCGGTCTTCAAAGGGAGAAGAGACTGAATTGGGAGCATTTTTATCATCTTCGTCTCCCTTTGAATCTCTCCGTCTGCAATTTCGTGTCTGATTCTGCGTCACAGACTCACAGTATCACAAGTTAGCCTTTTCGGCTCTTCAATTGAGTGCTACCTGATCAGCGGATTCGAGGAGGAAATTTTTCAATGGAGGACAAGGAGAAGGAAAATGTGAGGGCGATGAGCGAGGAGCGATGGCAAGGAGCTATAGTTAATCTGACGGAGATGACATCTAATTTGGAGTCTCTCCAGAAGTTACTCCTTAAGAAGGCCGTCTTCGTTGATGAAGATACATACACCAAAGCCTCACTCACCTCGGAACAAGCCCGTACGATTAAGGTACCGCTCTTCCAATCTTCAGCACTTTCTCCCTTCCTTTGTTCACGATTTTGCATGATCTGGGGCTCTGTTTGCTGCGCAATTAACATAGTGAAAATGTAGCTGCATTCCTGCTATTGCTCAGCAGCTCTTAGGAGTTTGTGGGTTCTGTTCCTTGTGACCGATTCCTTCTGCTGGGTCTCTGAATTTTTCCGTAATTTGTATGGTTAGTGTCATTGAATCACAGAACAGCTGTTGTGCGTATTAAGCGAATTTCTGAACCCGCAAGTTTGGATTCGTCTCATCGATGGAGTTTAACCAGACTGTACATTTTCTTTGTACTTGTTTTTCTTCCACGATCAGTTATTTTGTGAAGATCATTGACATTGTGGTGCTGGTAGGATCTAGAGTTCCATTTCAGCCATTACAAAGACAAGTTCTTGGTGCTTGTTTTTCACATGTTGGACCATCGTGCGAGCTCTAGAATCCTTGTTGGTAGCATTAGGCATATCAATCAATGAAGCATATCTCGTCTTGACCCTGTTTGAGAGATGCTAGGTTGCTTGCATGAGGCTTGTAATGCAACTTTATCTTGCATTTTCTACATGGGTTCAGATTTTCCGTCACTATGTCTACCAGTTTTGGCCAGGAAAAACAGGTATCTATCTTTCTTGGATATAGGGAGTAGATTTTTTTGAGAAGGCTAGGCAGGAGATTCAGTAAGGCATTGTCTGCTGCTGACCTTGAAGAAGCTAAACTATGTGTTTCGTGGCGATTTGATTTCGAATTGTAGAGTTGCATTTATGGGGATATCTCCTGGTATAGACTATATCATGTATGATGTTACTTAGACACTTGTGTCCATGCTCAAACATACTTCAGCTGTCATTCTGTTGGTGTTTATGCAGTTCCCTCTCCCTTGCGGCATTAGCCACATGACTCTTGACTAATGCTTTTGTTGCCCATGTCTCCATAGCAGTATTGCTCATTGCATTACTAACCATCTCTGTATATATGTGTAGGTTCTGGAACAAAGGGTAGAGACTTTGGAGAGAGAACTTGATGCAGCCATATCAGCTGCAGCCCGTGCACGCGCAGAGAAACGACAAGCTGAGGTAGCACAGAAAGCTGCTGAATTACGAGCACAAGGAGTCACCAAAGAACTGGAAAACACTACAAGTAAGTCCAGCCTAGTATTATTTTGATGAAGCATTGTTTCTTTTGTCAATTGGCTAAGTTACTTGAAATGATCTTCTGGTAGCAATGTTTTGTACTGAAGAATGAGGTTTGATGATGATTGTTTTTATGATGGTTGTAGAGGTATTTCAACTACACATGGAGGAGTTGCGAGCAAAGCAAGAGGAGATTGCGAAGCGTGATAATGACATTAAACTTTTGGAAGCAATAATCCAGACTCTTGGTGGAAGAGAATCACATTCTTCAAGTGGATAGATAATAGAAAGTTGAAATTTAGAGAATTGTTGTATTTCGTCGTCTCTTTTGTTGACTTCCGTTGTTGATTCTGACGTAAAACTGGAGCTCTTTTGTCCACTCCAATATAGATGGGAAAAGCTATTTTGATGTTACACAAGTTAAAACTTACCTACACCTACCAGGTAGGATACAATACCCAGCTTTAGCTAAAACCTATTTATTTCTCTTCTCTCGACAGCAAACAGTTGCACACATGACCAGTTCATATCATGTTCACATAGCACACCATTTTCCGTCATACATTTTTACCTGTACAGGCTCCTCTAATATTAACCATGCCAAACGTGTCCGAAGAAGAAAAGCCTAGCAAACGAAGCATGTCCAAAAGCAAACCAACCCCAAGGACGACTACGAAAAAACACCGCCTAATTTCAGAGTAGCACGATCTAATTCAAAATTTTCACACAATTGAGGTCGTCTAGCATATTTTTCCACATCAGTAGGATCCATTTAGTTTGTACACATTAATAATACTCTTTCGTCAAGAAGCATTTGGCGCGGTCTCGCTGACTAGGTCATAGGTGCTGGTTTCCTCGTTGAAGGAGTACCTAAGCATATAGGTAAAAATGATGATCAGTAATGCGGTAGAAGATATACAATAATACAATCACTTCTATTAACTCCTCTACTGCATCTTTTCTAAGAACATCATATAGGTATATAGCAAATTACTCACACATTATAGCCTTAATACTACATATTTGGGATGGCTACATCAATATCTGTGTTGTAACTTGTAAGTAGGTCAATACTCAGTGAAGATTCATTACCATAGCCCCGATGTCGCAGAGCAGTATAGCCCAGTGTTTGGGTCATAATAATAACCCAAGCTGCTGCTGTAGTAGTAACTGAAATAATGACAACCAGGAATCAGTATTTCGACTCGTGGAATACATAAGCGGAAAGAAGAGCATATCTTATCTTATTTACTTCCAACTTCAGGAGACAATTTTATAATAATGCAAAATCCAGGAGGTAGAAGTTTAGACCTCTAGCTAAACCTATAAATGTTTAGATACCATGTTTCAACCTAAGACATTGCATAGAAAGAAATATATTCAGAGATGGGAATGGAAATGGACATTGTGAATCTTCCAGTCCAATTTTAAGGTAAGGGAGTAAGAGAGAGGTACATACCCAGAAGTTTCATCATAAACATAATCACTCTGCAAACCTCCAGCTGCAGACCAAACAACCAAAAAACCATGAGTGCAGAAACAGAAATTAAGGAATGGCTTCAAGATACAAAATCAATCAAACAATAAAAACCTAACCTAGGGTTAAAATGATCTCAGGACCATAAACTCAAGTCAGTGCAAAAAGATTGTGCACTGAAGCACTTTCACCGTAACATTCACTCACCATTAGCAACAGAGCCAGTAGCGATAGCATCAGTGCAAGCAGATGTATTAGCAGTAGTGTTATCATCTTCATCTCCAAACATGTCATATGCATCAGCTCCATCATCAGAGGCTTCTACACTGTTTCCATTAAGGCCTGAAGTACCAGCATCAGCACTAGACACTATAGAAGAGGATGCTCCAACAGTTCCCACATCAGAAAGCATGTGTGTCCTTGTGTTGTAAGGATCCGCTTGTCCCCGATTTATCAATGTGTCTTTTCCTCTAGCAGAAGCTAACTTCTCATATCCTTCTGAAAAAAGATAAAAGGAATAGATAATAACCATAAGCAGCAGTTACTGCAAATTTGCAAATTCCATCACCATCACATACATTACAAAGTAAAATCTTGAAAATGTAAGTTCACCAGGAAAAGAATAAATAGGCTCAATACTTTCAGATCTCATAAGCCTGCACCATCCACTGCCTAACAGGGGGAAAAAGGCTGAAAAAATGTGTCGGCCATAAACAAGGTGGCTTCAGAATAAAATGAAGGCTACGAACACATGATAAATAAACAACCGAACAAATGAAATGTGATCAGGTGAAAGAACCCAAAGGGTTGTCAAGGCTGAGAACTGTGACAAAGCAGGCAGGACTCAAGAGATTAACTACATTCTATTGGGATCTCAAAGTGATAACACTCCTTCATATTCTCTCATTCTAATGATTGACTCATGAAACTCATGCTACCACATGTGGATGTTCAAAGAGATCAGAAACTTTTATGAACTAACCTGCCTCGCGCTCAAAAATCTCCTGCTTATCATGGTAAACATCTGCATAGAAAAGATTTGAATAAGTATCTGATTGCCATGACCAACAAATTTTTTTGGAAGAGCTAATTCTACAAGTAAACTTAAACTATCTGCTGATAATGACAATTGAATTGTGTGAACTTTACCATATTCACCACTATCCAGCAGCTTGTTAGCATCTTCAGTAAGCTGGTCAAATAGAAGTTGTGTCTCAGCTGACATTTTCTCCTTCTTCCCAATTGAGGTTCCCTTCAACCTTCTCAAAGCTTGTAAAACCTGTCAGAAGAAGGGAATGTCACAATACAACTTTCAAAATATGACCAGGACCATCCCTTTATCATATTTGGATAATGAATAATTCAGGGTGCAACTCAGAGTGTTTTGTTTGGGCGCAATTTTTCATAAACCAGGGAGTCCATGCAAAGAGAATATTATCCTATCGCTGCTCTCGATAAATGATTGAAATTTATGGAATAAACAGATGTGTCAACTGTAATCTTCCAACATTGCAATAAATCTAATCATAAAAAGCGAATCGACAACCGAGAACTAACCGTTTCCCCTGGTTCAAGCAAATCTGCAATTCGCCTCTTTATCTGTCCAGTCTCATCAGAAGACATTTCAGGGGCTTCACTTTCGTCATTGTCTTCAGCTACCTTGGAATTAGCATATCTTGTATCAACTTCAGCAGTATCAAGCCATGGATCCTGCAACGAAATCCCAAAAGGTACTAAGAGTTGAAAAACTACAAAAATGATAAGCAATTTCCTTTTAGTTGAAAAGAGCAACCAGCTTCAGAGAAAAGAGATAGTTTACCTTGAAGTCATTCTCATTGACATATTCAACAAAATTTCCCTGAGCATCAAAATAACCTTCTTCCCTCTCTCTGTCAAGATTAAATGGTTCAATTTGAACCCCATCATCAACAAAACTGTCATTATCCTGTCAACAGAGAAAAGAGATTGTTTACCTTAGAGTCATTTCCATCGACATATTCAACAAAATTTCCCTGAACATCAAATTTACATTCTTCACTCTTCGCCAAGATTAAATGGCTCAATTTGAGCCCCATCATCAACAAAAATGCCATTATCCTGTCAATGGAGAACCCAGTCGTGTTTTTCTCTTCTTTTCTTTTTTCCTGGAAGTTCCGGATCCCAGTCATGCAATTGCATCACCATACTCCAACCAGAAACTTATCCATCGTGTATATATACTTAACGGGAAAAAAATACGCCCTTAAAGAAACAGCACAGCGCACAAATACTGATACTGTAAGCATAGTGCCATATATAGCATGTCTGACCCACCAGCAGCACCAGATTACTATACTATAATTCACCTCCTGACCACTTGAGATGTAAGCTACTTTCAAACTTAATAAGGCAGAAGCAGCACAATTTGATTTTACTGCAGTAGGTAACCCTGGTATGCTTTCAATCTTTTGCCCTTTCCCAACCAGCAAAAGTTTCGTAGAATGCCCAAGATTTGGAGGTTCATATCTTATTCAGATTTACAAAACAAAAAAAATGGAAGTAAGCAAACCTCATAAGTGACCTCGGCTGCAGAGACGTCATTGACTTCGCCGTCAAACAGTTCAGCGGTGATCTGGTTACGTCGCTTCGCACGCTCGGTGGCAGCGAGTCTAGCGTCAGCGTCGTCGGCGAGCTTGTCTTGAGGTCCAACCCTTTCAGGACCAGCTGCTGCGGGGACGGTGCCGGAATCATCCCCTGGCTTCACTTTCTTCCCTTTCGGAAACCTTACTTTCTTCTGCTGCCTGAAATAACATCGCGAAATCGCCATCAACAGAAAGTAAAAAGTGCAACGAAGGGGTAAACCCTAAAGGAAACCAAGGTCAGGAGAAACGGGAGGGAGCGGGGCTGTGGCGCACATGGAGCGTTTCGTCGATTCCTCATCTTCAAACTCATCGTTGCGAGGGCGCTTGCGGGAGGAGCGCGGCAGCTTGCCATCCATGATCGTCGCTGTTATCGCAGCAACTCCTCGAAACTGAGCAGATGCAATTTGCAAGACAGAGATTGCCAGAGAGAGGGTTAATTGCGCCACATACCGTGTCGTTATATTTTCCGTTACTAAATTTAATGGTAGGTACTAAATTGTACTTTTCCTCTGCGTAGGGGTGGGCATTCGGTCGGTTCGGTTTGAACCGAACCGAAATTATGCGTATCGGGTCCCCGAATTCTATCAAACGTCAAACCGAATTTGAACCGAATTATAATTCGGTTTGGTCGGTTAAAACCAAATTATAATTCGGTTCGGTTTTTCATACAAAACCGAACTTGTGAGGTTAGCTTGTATCTTCTCACTTTTAAATTATTTTTCACTCCTAATGTAAACAATAAATATGCATCATCAATGATAAAATCAAACATTTCAACACATGTCATAAAACACTAACATGATTCAAATATTTAAATCTCACAATAATCCGCCATTTGGAGCTTGCAATTATAATAATTCGATTTTTCGGTTCGAAATTCAAAAATTTAGTTCGGTCGAAAGAATCTTGGTTTCCAAAATAAGCCATTTTCTCTTCCAAATTCCGAACCTTTACCGAACTGTATGCCCACCACTATCATGCGAGCATTCCAGCTCAGCATATGATAGGCCACAAAAATCTGTATCTCATATGTAATAATTGACTAAGGGGTCGTTTGAAGAATGAGATATAGGACGTGGATTCATTGAATCCGTAGATTTTGTAGAAAGTTATGTTTTTTTATTGTGGATTTGAGCTTTAGAGATTTCAAATCTTTAAAATCTACGGATATCAAATCTCTCATAATCAGAGAGATTCTATATCTTGATTCGTGAGATTTTTTTCCTTCTACTTTTTCTCTTTGTTTTATTTATTTATCATATTAAATATATTTACCAACAAAGTTTTTAATATTTCTCGAACCACTCTATTTTATTATGGATAAACACGTTATTAGTATAAAAATAATTTTTTTATTTTCATTGAATGTTAACAATCACAGTTACCAAACAATAAATATTTTAAAATCTATTTTCAACAATTCGAAGAGTTAGAATCTTTAGATTGTTGACAATCTATAGATTTAAACTCATATTCTCCAAACGAAACCTAATTTCTTCTACTCGTTGCACCTTGTACTGCATTAATCGTTGTGCATCCACAACTCGTACTTTACCGTCACATTCGATCTACTAATCTATATCTGGACTTCACCATATAAATCCCCGCAGGGTCCTCACACCAAACCAGCCTATTTAAGATACACACTCTAGGCAAATTTTTTAAGATCTCCCGCACTGTGCCAAGGGAAAAGGCAGACTGCAACAAATCCACACACCGTCACCCTTCTCCTGGTTAATCAGTTTATTGGAGCTTATTGGTGTATAATAATTGAAACTAATAAACATAAGCTGCATCATCGTAGAGTGGCTATACGGCATGGTCCTGTTAAATTGGTATGAATTGAGCCGGTCCCGGTCTGGTCTTTTCAAGAATATAAGGATCAAAGATTGGATTGGATACAATCCGGTCCGGTCTTAAACCGGGTTAGTCCTGATTCGGTCTTGATTTTAAATTGACCTTGTGGGGATTTGAGTAGGCTGAGTCTTGAAAGGTGAGGAATTGGTTAAATTTTGGGTGTTGGACTCTCTTATCCGGTCTTTATCCGGTTTTTGGTCTGTTTCCGAATGGTTTTTCCCCTAAAATCTAAGCCCGAAGATGAGATTGGATTGTTTGCTATCCGGTTTCGATCCGATCTCGGTCCGAGTTATACGGTCCGATTCAGATAAAATCAAAAAGCTCGGACCAAATAGCCAGCCTTACATCGTGCAAATTTGATTATGAATGTTTATTTTTTTAAGACATGTATGAAAACACAAAAATCTGGTGTGACTAGCAGGTAGGAAACCGACTTGACAACACTGGTTTTGATGATCGTAATTTTTGTTTTGATTAGTGACCGCCTAGTTTTCCCTTATTTTTTTCTAATTTTTATAGTGAATACACTATGGTTGTCATGCCAGTGACATGTATGTTAGTGCAACCGGTACTTTCGGTGAATCCATAAAGCGAAAAAATTTCTTTGATGTTAATTTTTTGCAAAAAATTATAAAAATGAATGAAATGGATTCAGTATGACTGGGATGTTCGATTTCTTATTTAAAAAAAATGATGTCATTTTGGTGAATCTATATTACAAAAAAATTATTTTTGAATTTGAACGTTAAATGTTGATGTTTTTTTTTTGGTATTGCAGTTGATGTTATTTGGTGGACTAAAGTATGAGTGTTTTCATGTTATGTTATTTGTTGGATTCAAGTATAAACTTTTGGATGTTTGCGCTAAATGTAGTATTTAAGTGTGATAATTTTCATTTTTGTTTGGAAGGTTGTATTTTTATTTAAATATGTATGTATAATTTAGAGAGATTGTCTTCAAATATGTTATGTCTAAATTCATTTATTATTAATGATTTCTCACTTCCCTATATGTAATGATTTCTCACTTCCCTATATGTTTTGCTAAAACCGACATGAGCTCGCATAAATCGATTGTATTACCATCGAGTCATACCACTTGCCAAACTAGCATAACGGTATTAGTCGGTTTATACCGTTACACAGGTTTAGCAAGTGGTATGGTCTGACTAGGGTACAACCATTTTATGCCGTTTTTGACAAAAGTGACTATTTTGTGTACTTCAATCAGTCCAGCCATACTGTAAAGTGACACCGTTAAAAGGATGGACGAAAGTGGCTATTTTGTGTATTTTGAAAGTTGTGGCTATAACTGTCACAAACGTAAAAGTTGTGGCTATGAAAGTGTATTTTGCCTTATTTATAACCTAAGCTTTTTCTGAATTGCTATTCGTCGCCCTAAGATTAAAAAAAAATCGCCCTAAACTACACTGAATTGACACATATATCCCTGACTTCAAACCTAAACTACAATCTATCCCCAACTCCAAACCCGATTCTCAAAATCTCACAAAAAATCTGTCGTCCACCAATTCTTACTCTCCGCCACCGCCGCCGCCAGGGTCACTCCCCGCCGCCGCTGCTATTCGTCGTTGCTGTCGACCAGGAGGAGTTCGTCTAGGGTTAGGTTGACATTGTCGAGAAGCTTGTCGTCGTGGATCAAGTGGTAGTCTGTTCGCTGGGCTCGTCCGTGATTGAAATTGTTCCTCCGCGGGATTGGATTGCGGATATGAGTACGGCGATGGTGTCCCACGACGTGGAGGGTGAAATTAGGATTTGCTGCGATTGTAGGTTTACGAATATTTGCATCTCTTCCTGTCTTTTTTGGTATTCCGAGCAGCAAAGTGATGGAACAAAAGATGGGTGATGGCGGTGACCGTGGCCTGGAAACTTTAAATCCTTGATCTCCATGGAGAAATTGATCTTTGCGGTGAGAAAATAAATGCTAGGAATATATTATATACAAAATTAATTAAACACATTAATTATTTTAAGAGATATTAAAAATAAATCAAGGGTATTAGAGTAAATTTAACTAAATTAGGGCGACGAATAAGGATTTTTAGGGCGACGAATAGCAATCCCCAGCTTTTTTTATTGAGGAGAAATTTAGGCAAAATACATGTCCATACCCAAAACTTTAATGTTTTTGACAAATATAGCAAAAACTTTCAAAATACACAAAATGACCACTTCCATCAAAATATTTAACGACATCACTTAACAGTCTGATGGGACTAACATAAATGTTGAGTTGGCAAAGTTATGTCCCCACCAATCTCGTCTCCATTCTTCGGGAAGTGACTTCGCGGACTGCAGAAGTCCGCCATTCTTCTGGATGCTTCACGAGATCGATGAGCTAAAAGTGACCAAGGAAAGAGAGAAAAGCCAAGGCATGAGCCATAGATCTGGGAACACCTCGACGAAATCCCAGATGTTGTGACAAGAAGGTACAATCAAATCCCTAGTCAACACCAAAATCAGAATCGCAATCGGCGCACAAATGACAACATCCTGAGTCTAGCCTCCGTGCCAAACACCAACCCGCCCCCTTCTAGCTTGGGCAACTAGGTGATGGCCTCCGGTGACCCTAGATTTGACATTGGTGTGGGAGTAGAGGAGGATGGAAGAGAGGAGTTGAGTGTGGGGGTTGGCGGTGGTCTGCTGCGACTTGGAAATTGGGGGAGGAGGAATAGGGAAAGAGATTTTCATGAAGGAAAGTGGATATGCGGAATGAGAGAGAGAAAGGGGAGATTGGGAGGATAATTATTTATTTGTTTTTTATTTGTTCATAATTTTTTATTTGTTTTTAAATTTAAATATGACATGGCAGCGATGTGGCATGGTGTGGTGAGTTTGAGTTGATATGGAAGCTGAGGTGGCAGCCACATCAGCATCTTGTTAGTGTTACTAACGGCGTTCCTAACGCTGTTATAGTTTGTAACGGAAATAATTAGATTTGTTATAAAACATTCAAACTTCTTACTATTTTATGTATTTTGAAAGTTTACACTATAACTGTAAAAAAACGTAAAAGTTGTGACTAACCAAGTGTATTTTGCCAAAATCTTATTAAGTTTTTCTTTTTTAATCGGTGGATCCTACATTCCTACTCCTACCCGTCCCGGAAGCGATTTCCTATATATGCGTGATTCATAACTAGAAGTCTAGAACTAGAATTCGGCGATTGAGCAAAATCGGAGGGAGCCAAAGAAAGGCGCGCGGAGGACAGCGAGCCCGAGAGAATGGTAGAAGGCGATGTGGATATGACTGGAGCCGATGCTAACGAAGCTGTAATGTCCCTCATCTGGCCTGCTTTTCCCTATATCAGACTCTCCTCTCTTGTCGCCTTTTGGCGCTCTTATGGATCAGGGAGGAAACCCTAATTACGGTTCTGGTTTTCTTTTTCTGCTGGTCGCGATTTCAGGAATTGGACGACATGAAGAAACGGTTGAAGGAAATTGAGGACGAAGCGGCTGCTCTGCGCGATATGCAGGCCAAGGTCGAGAAGGAGATGGGCTCTGTTCAAGGTGGCTAATTCTCTCTTCCCTTATTCTACTATGGAGTATAACGATGGATTAGTGGAATTTGATGGATGGTACGGTGTGCGATGAATTGGAGGTTTATGTAGTTCTTAGACGGGAAAGTGGCTATTTAATTGATTTCTTATTTGAAGTTTTGTTGATTTCGTATGTCAGCGATTGTGTTCGGCTTGTATGATTTCAATTCGTACTAGTTCATATTCTCTTAATGAGAACTGGATGGATCCTCTCATTCCTTGTGGAGCCATGGTTATGACTCAATAATAGTCTTTTGCATATGGTACACTTTGTTGTATTTGGCTTTGCATACCTTTCGTTGCCCCATATGCTATCGTGACGAGCTTTTGGTGCTCTGATCTGAGGTATGCTGTTATTTCTTTTTGGTTCCTGCTGTACCACCTTATGAGTTAAAGCAAGGTATGATCACATTTGATTAGCAAACCAAGACGATGGTTTAACTGAATCATGATATGACATGATAAAACAAGGACACTTCTGGAACTTCAGGAGGCTTTCATGATTTTATAACCTTCCTAGGTCCTACTTTTGTGTACCAGGGAATTCTTTTTAATTTTAATTTTATTTTTATGGAGAACCTGTTGTAGAAAGGGAGAGATGATGATGAGAGTGAGGATTCATACTTGTATCATTATTTATTCTCCTGTCTGACATGTCTTGCTGAATCATGTGGTGATTACTCTGCAACTTCTTCATTGTTTGGTAAACAAAGAGTTACTTTTAAGATAGCTATTGCCTATTAACATACTTTTCTTCACAATTTGACCATAATTATTGCTCTTATGCCAAACTAGATCCTGGTGGTTCTGGAGCATCTCAAGCAAGCAGAGAGGAAGTAGATTCTCGATCAGTTTTTGTTGGCAATGTGAGGCTTCTATTTACAGCTCGTTTCAGTTATTTATTGGATGAAATGTTTGATTCATGCTCTGGGCTGAGCATTAAAGCCACTTGAATATGGCCTTGCTTTTCTTCCTTCCTCTATTCATTGGAAAAAATTCTTCCTTCCCCTGCATGTTCTTTTCTTGATGAAAGCTTAAATTATCTTTTTGTCTTTTCTCCATGCATTGCTTATTGCTAGTGTGTCTCTAGGAGCCTCCGTAAATGAGATTGCTACAATCCTTTCATATTTACATTAGTAAATTGATGTGGTCTGTCATTGAATTGGAAGTTTGTTGGAGTTGTGTTACCTGTGCCTAGTTTCCCCCCTGCTTCCCCCTTGGGAGATGTGGAGAAGGGAAGAGTGGGATGGATGGGTTGGAATGCATGAGTCTCCTTCCCTGTACCAGTTTAGTAGCATGTTGATTGGAGTTAGTTTCATTCGCTGGCTCTGGTCTGCTATGGACTAGCATGTGAAATGGATTGGCTTAGAAGATTGTTCTGTTGTGAGTATCCGATTATATCCAGGATGGAACAAGAGAAATGCTTTAGAAGTGAGAGTGACTGGAAAGTACTGTAGAATATGCAGCTTCAATTTTTCTCAGCTTGCCATGTTCCTCTTTAGCTTTAATTGCAGATGACTTCGCGAATTGTCTAGCGTTTCCTTTTCCAAACTGCCTAAGTTGAGTGTATAACATTAGTTGAGAGTTCTGTGGAGCAAATATGTGGTGGAGTTGTGCTTTGAGTACTCATTATCCTTGGCCAATTGATATTGATTTGGTAGTAACTGTACTTCCATATTCGATAATCTGAGCCAAGTGATATCGAGGTAGCTAGGTTGGAAGTAATATGTTTAATTTGTTAGGCTCCAGAGCATTATTGAATCGTGGGGAACAATAAGTTATTCATGAAAAGAAGAAGAGAAGGTGATAAAAGTTATCAAGGAATCAAGGGAGTGCCAGGCATTACATATTCTGTCATGGCTTTGTTCCCTCTTCAGCTCTGATAAAACTTATATCCAAATTGTCCTACCTTAGTTTCAGTATAAACCTCTTGCTTTGCTCTCTCCATCCTGTACTAGGTTTAGTTTTCTGCTTGATCCAATGGGTCAGGAAATTGATTTGCTAGCCATATATCTCTAAGGTCTTATTCTACAGGAAAATAAGTTGAACTGAGGCCTTTGAGAATCTTTTAATATAGTTGTATTGCTAAAGCAAAGTTTGAGCAACTTATGCTTCCAGTTCTCAATCATTCCGTTGCTGCTTTTGATTAATTTTACTAGATGATATGCCTACTCTGTGTTGAGTGGTGAAAGTTTAGATGGTCAGTTATTTGTTTTTCTTTTGGCCTGCATTTGAGCTTCTCTGGGTCTTGGTAATACTATTCTTCTCTGACCTTCTTTCACTAAGTTCAGCTATTTGCATTCCCCTTTTTTTTTTTGCTTGAGTTTGAGCTTCACTGGGTCTTAGTCTTACAATTATACTTTGACCTTCTTCTTTGACTAAACTCGCAGGTCAGGCTTCGTTCTTCAGGCGTCTGTTGTTGTTGTTAGTGGTGTCAGTAGTGGTTAGCGTGATAAAAACCGAGTGGGAAAATATAGGGATGAAAACAAAGAGTGTTGAAAAAAAGTTTCATTTGAGTTGAAAATAAAAAAGAAAAAAAAAAGGAAAAGATGAAAACGGTTAATCAGGAACCACAAAAGAAAGAAAAGAATGAAATAAAAAGAAATGAGATGTGGTATTGAAATGGACGAGGGAGGTGTTTCCGAAAATGATTCACTCAGATTAAATCTGAGGCGTAATCCGTGGAGAATGGAGACTGGTGATGTGCAGGCCAGACTGGTGGCTTTCCTGATGGTTATTGCTGGAGGAATAGGTAGATGTTTGCTGCTTATGGTGAGAGGTCTTTGATCTCTATATTTTCACCTCGATTGGGATTGATAGGGGGTTTTGATTTCTTTCAGCTTGTTTATATGCTATCATAGTAATAAACTAATACTAGTTATTCATGTACTCATGAATGCTGGATGATTGCTTGGTGAATGATTTTAAGAAATTAAATATGGATGGCTTAGAAAAAGAAAAAAAGAAATGATGTGGTAAGGCTGATAATAATTCATCGTTATGTGATCATTCTGCTGGCTTGTAATTCCATGCAACCAGTTTTTGCATTGTTTTCGGATGCGCTTGGCTGTAGTTGTATTCAGTGCCCTCATCTGCATGGTACAACCACCTCCTGTGTTTAAAGATACATTTTTCTTGGGTGTGGTTGTTGACTGGAATTTCGAGCTTTCAATGGTCTCTAGTCCTTTGTTTGTGTCTTATAAGAACAACACCTTTGAAATGCAGCAAAGGAAAATTGATCTTTTGTACTGCAAGGCTTCTAAATGTGTTTCAGACACAGCTGTTTTGCTCTACAGCTCATTTTCGATTTCTTCCTTTTGTTTTCCCTGTGCAACATAATGTTCATAGCATGATGTTGCTTGTCCAGTAATAGTGTTGGTTTGTAGTTGGCTTTGATAGACTTTGATGGCTTGTAGTTGGTGTTGAGTGGTAAATTTTGGAGCTTGTTTGACAACACCATTGTAAAACTACAATAATCTCAGTAATATCTTAGACCTATGTATGCTTTGTTTTCTAGAATCTTGTTACACTTTTACCACTTGTAGCTGTTAGCTGTTTATCTCGTAATAGATTCTATTTCATTCACCAAGTGTCAACCTAAACCCTCCTGAAGTGATGGCTTTGTTTGAGATTTAAGAGAATGAGTTAAGACAGGTTGGAGTGGGACTTTTTGATGCAGTCTAGGAACTGGTAACTATAGGATTGTTTAAAGCTAGAATATCACATGCCGTTTCTGTGTTAGCTATTGAATGCTGATAGATTGTGTCAATATTTGTCTTATCTGTTCCTGGCTATTACTAAGCAGGGTTTTTTGTGTTATATCCATTGCAGGTTGACTACTCGTGTACACCTGAGGAAGTACAGCAGCATTTCCAGACGTGTGGAACAGTAAATCGAGTCACTATTCGCACTGATAAATATGGTCAACCAAAGGGTTACGCTTATGTGGAATTCCTCGAGACCGAAGCTGTTCAAGAGGCGCTTCTATTAAATGAAACTGAGCTACATGGCCGACAATTGAAGGTAAAACCTTTTGACGTGAAATCTTCATGTTCTCTTAGATGTCCAATGATCTTCTTTTTCCACTTCAGATATGTAGATCTCAGAACCTTGAATCCCTCCTCTTTTCTAACTGGAGATTTCCTTTTTCATATTTCTCCTTGTCTACCTGTAATGACTTGCAGGTGACTGCAAAGCGGACTAATAAACCTGGGATGAAACAGTTCCGTCCTCGTCGATCCAATCCATATGCTGGATTTCCACCGAGGGGTGCATTTGCAGCTCCCTATTTCTACCCTGCTTATGGATATGGGTACACTACTACCTTTTAGCTATCTGCCTTAGCTTCTTTTATTGTGAACAGCGGATGTTTTTTGTGCTTATTTGCCTCTCTTCCTGTATAGCTTGTTTAGGTTCTCACATTCTTGTTCTATATTGGGGATGTTGGTTGCAGGAAGATTCCAAGGTTCAGAATGCCAGCACGTTACAGCCCTTACAACTGAGAATGGTGTGACGGTTGAGGCAGCAAATTGCTAGCAGTTAGTTGCTTCTGGAGCGGATGTTTTTATGATTGTTTCCTTGAGCTTTTCATTGAGATGGACGGTGATGATTTAGAATGTTGAATGGAAGACCGTGAACCCTTGTAATTGTGATGGGTCTTTTTGCGGATTGATAAATGTGCTGTTTTGGGGCTGGCGTTGGTTATGTTCTTTCTTTTTTGTTTTGAAAGGAGAAAACAGCCCTAGTATATTGTCTGCAAGCTTTCTTTGTCTGGTTTAGGGTCAGAAGAATATGATAATAACATATTTTGGAGGGCGTTGGTTTCTCGTTGCACTGCCGGGATTGAATCACATATACCTTATGTTTGGCCCGGTTTTTAGAAGTGCTTTTCGGGTTTAAAAGCTGAAGCAGGGCCAAACACCTGTAAAAGCTCGGCTTTTAAAAAGCCGAAAAGCGCTTTTACTCACGAGGTCTCTTCATGCAACAGGGGTAATTAAACTATCTTGTGCACAAGGACTCGATATACACCACAAGATAGCTGTGAAGCTATGATATCATTAGTAACATATTCGGTATAAGAACTTGAGTAGTCTCTTGCTTGGTGATCTAGTGATTGTCAAGACACGAAGTCTCTTCATACCTAGAACAATCATCGCTTCAATGCATGGGCAATTTCTTGGCATGTCATGCATTGGACATCACTACCTGTGATTTCTCGTCATGCCATATGGTCAATAGGCTTCCCCTGTCAACTCAGAACTATGACTCATTTACCTTGGCTTAGACGAGAACGAGAAGAATAACCTTGTAGGCTGTAGCAGGGAGAATGGCTTGGTGACGGTCTCTGGCCACCATGATTCTATTCTACCTAGGACTAAACTGTTGAATCATATGCATGCTATCTCATCCACATGGAAAATAAGTTGCTTTAACGTACGGTTTATTTTACAGAAAGAGTTGCGAAAAATTTCAAATCAAGATTGGAGTGCCAAACTTACATACAACACTGTGATGTCGGTGAGTTCAATATATATATAGACAGAATAAAGTCTGGACGTTTTGTAGACAACCCAAGACAGACTTTAGAGCAGAAGCAAGGAAAACACGCAGGCAAACCAGCATGGCTGTTGCAGCCGAAAGGTAGAGATTTAGCACCAGAAGGACCGATCCTTTACAGAAACTTCACCATCTTCCTTGTAGTCCAGTGTCCACCTCTCAAATGTACAGTCTACGAAATCATAATAGCCACCATGGATGGAGAGTTCTCCACCCTTCGCTTTCTCTTCTATCCATGGATAAGTTAGAAGGTTTGTCAATGTACAGCTTACTGATTCCTGCAAAAACCATGACAATATCACATGAATCAATCCCGGAAATTTTATGCGAAATCCGAGAATGACCGATTCTGCAGATTTATTCATTACTATTAGAGGAAAATAAGGAATAACAATCGAGTATGATGACAGTAACTTGAGAACATGAAGCACTTTTTGTAATAAACGAGCCTGGCGATGAATGCTGATTTTCAAGTGTGCACTTTCTCTGTGCAGGAATAGATGGGGATCACGGCAGAGATTTTCAGGTTCTAAAACTGAAACTTGGATGAAATTCAATCCAGAAAGGTGGTGTTACATTGGACATGAGCAGGAAGCTACAAACACTAATCAACAACAAGAATGTGTAGGTAAATACACCAAGCAGTTAGTAACTGACCGGGCAACTCATTACGCACAGTGAAATTTACCTTTTCACAGTGTCTACACTGCTGATCGAAGTTGAGATTAGAAGCATCGGCCTTTGTTCTTTTGCGTGCATTCATTCCAACAGAAACCCAACTACCAATGAAGCTACTGAAAAAGCGAAAAAAAAAAGGAAGGCGAAAATTGAGTTAGGAAGTTAGAGGGGAGCCACTGTATATCACCTAATTGGCATATCTGGTTGCATGAAGGACAAGTGAAGGAATTAAAAGCGATACAAACTGTACAGTAGTTCATACCTTGTTTCAACATCATCATGCATACTCATTAGAGCACGGATACCTCCACATCGACTGTGGCCAACAACTAAGATGTTCTGAACCTGAAACAGGGAGAAATACTAAAGAACTTGCATACAGACATATAATGTCAGGACCATAACCTCTTCGTCAGCCCAAAAGTCTGTTTGATTCTACATGTTTTACCCACAAAGAGTGCATGCAACATTGCTAGGTATGATGCTCTTAAAATTCTACAAAAGTATATATTGGCTATAAGACAAACAAGGATTTTTATGACTGTAAAACTAATGGATGACCTTGGCTAGGTATGACACTCTTAACATTCTAGAAAGAATGCATGCACCATTACTACGTTTCTCCCTTAGAGACAGATAATGTTACTGGTCTCCTCGATATTTTCTTCTCTCAGTGCACGTTCCTTGCACTCCAATCAAGTTCGCACGTGAATGTAACTTCTTTACGTTCAATATGTGTAAGGTTCAAATAGGAAGGTTCAATGCAGACCCTTAGAGACAGATAATGTTAGAAGCACAGGGCTTAGTTACCTTGAGAACGTTTACAGCAAATTCCAAGGCTGCCTTAGTCTCAGATGGACCACTCTGCATATAGAAAGCATGATTATAAGGGAACCGACAGAATAATATCTGAAACTGTGGACATTGGGCTTAGGCTCCATGATCTCTGAACTATGATAGAGTTGGGTTACGAATTTGGGTTAAGGATGTACCTCAAAATGGGGCACCAGATTTGCCACGTTACGGACTACAAAAGCTTCCCCAGGCTGAAATCCCAGAATGTTAGAGGGACAAACCCTGGAGTCTCCACAGGCGATCACCATAAACTGTGTTCCACAATATGAATGAAAGTAGGAACTTTCAAGTTCCAATTTGGTAAGCTTAATATAATTAAATCTAGAAGCTGCAACAGTCTTTACCTTAGGTGCTTGACCCTTGGCAAGACTTTCATAATGTTCAATGTTCTCTCTGTTCAATGATTCCCATTGTTAGCAACTCAAAATGTGGTATCTATGAATGCACAGCATATGTACACAAGTTGAATAATGCTTACAAATATGTATGCTTCTTGAAACTCAGGAATCGTTCTTTCAGATCATCAAATAAATTTTTACTGGTAAGAGTCGCTGTATCATCACTTTCACGTTCCTTAGTCATCCCCGTGGAGTTCTTTGCAACTTTCAATTTGAACTCTGACATGCTCCTGGAAACATAGCAGCAAGTTCATTCCACAACAATAAAGTAATGTAGCAACTTGCGAAGAAGAGACAAGCATATGAAAAGGAAATTCTATATATCAACTAGCGACTTCTTATCTCTTTCAGCTAGTATTATTCTAAACGAGAATCTGTGTTGCTTCTCCGAATAGTGTACGAGTTAAAACTTATATCCTAGACATGAAAATCACCAGCAAAGTTAGGCATGTTCCATTAATTCTTAAGAGACAAGAACCTCAGATTTTCACCAACACCAGTGCTGACGGGACCGAAATACAATGAACACATTCAGCACTCGGAGCTTGAATTGAGCAAACAACCGCAATGAACCCATTTGGGAAGACTCAGAGATGACTCCATTAATCAAGAGAACCCTCAACCACGACGTAACTAGCAGGTGAATCAGACGCAATACAAGCAGAGCTCAATCTTAGATTGCAGGGAATTAGTGATCACACTTGCCAATTGCAGACCAAACTTACTTGGAAGCAGATGACGATCTCAAATTGGTCTGCTCAGAACCAGAAATCTGTGCCCAAAACAATCAATCAAGCACAACAGAATCAACAATCTGGAACACGAAAATCATACTTACAAACAGAAAACACCAGCAGCCAAGAAAGGGGGCTGAGAGAGAGAGAGAGATGAATTACAGATTGGGCTCTCAGGAATGAAGCTCTGGCAGGAAAGGGCGAGGAAGAGGAACTGGAAGATGAAGGGCCTTTGGTGACAAATGAAGCTGGTGAAAGAACTGCCATTAGAGTAGAGATCTATTGCAAAAGGGAGAGAACAACCCCGCTTTCGTTGTCTCTACTGAATTGGAAAATGGCGACGAAAGAAGATGAAAAGGAACGAACTTTGGCGATCTGGCAGTAGGAACAGTCATAGCCAGTCATTCTTTGAAGCTTTAAAAAGGGTGGTTGCTCATCGGTTTGATCGAACCCCACCTGTCCACTTTTCTTGCTTTGGTTTCTCAGCGCTGTAATTTTTATTTTATTTTGAAACTCTTGTTGGTCGTTGTCTCCAGGAAATGCGGAGAAAACAAGGCCGATATGTGAAGCACGAAGCACTTGGCAATCCATCGAAGATGCCAAATGTGGCAAGCCAGCCTTCCCTTGTCCACGCGGATCCCAGATGCCGTTTCTGTTTGCCATTCCAATTTTCCTCCTCTAATCCAGAATAAAATTGTCGGGGAAGTACTAAACTTTTCTTAAGGTTACAGGTTGAATCCTCCTTTTACTTCAGTGCACAACGGTTCAGTTTGTACTTTGTACGATATTGATTTGGACTTGTGAAGTCAGTACTTTGAGTGATGGGATTAGATAGAAATAAAATATTGTTGTAGTTTATTGGCATTAAAAGAAATGAAGTTGCATGAAAATGTGGGTGATAGTAGTGATTATAGGTGTCAAAACATAGCCCGACTTGATTAACCCAACCGATCAACCCGACACGTAACTTGACTGTAACTCGAATTGACTAAAAGTCAACAACCTGTAACCCGCCCGACCCGCAACCCGATTGACCCGCAACCTGACTGACTCGCAACCCGATTAACCCGAACCTGATTGACCCGCAACCTGACTGACTCGCAACCCGATTAACCCGAACCCGATTGACCCGCAACCCCACTGAACCGCAACCCGACTAACCCGTAACCCGACCGACTCAACCCGAACCTCACTTAGTCCACTTAAATAATTATTATAATATACAATACATAGTTTTTCAAAATAAAGTTTTTCATTCTAAACTTACGTAAAATTATTTTTTCATTTCGTATAGGGAATTTAAAAAATATGAAACTCACTTGATATTATGTATTTTAAGAAAATTACAAAAATTGAAACATGAAGGTCACTTGAACACTAAGTTCTTTAACAAAATTAAAAAAGTAAATATAAATCAACATAATGTCAATATTAATAATGAAGAATTAATAATTGAGATCACGGACAATATTAATATAATATATAAATTAAATTTTTTGTTAATTCAACTATTCAATAAAATTATCAATTAAATATAAATAAAATAAATTAATGTATTTGGTAATTTGATGTTTTTAAAAGAAGAGAAAATTTTTGGTGTATTCAACTTTTTGGGAAGAGAAAGAAGAGGGAAATTTGGTTCTTTGAATTTTTTAGAAAAGAAACAAGTTGAAATTTTGGTGGTTTTGATTTGTGGGAATAGAAAGAAGTGGGAAAGTTTAGTTCTTTTGATTATGAAAGAGAAATAAGGAGGGAAATTTTGAGTTTTCAACTTTTTGTGGAAGGAAAGAAGAGAGAAATTTGGTTTTTTCAATTTTATGGAAGAGAAAGAGGAGGGAAATTGAGTGTTTCTAATTTATGGAAGGAGAAAGAAGGAGGGAATTTTTAGTATTTTTTTGTGTAAAAAAAGAATGAAACAAATTTGGTGTTTTCAACTTTTTGGTTTTTCAAAATTTTAGCCTTTGAAATATGAATCTTTAATTTTTATACGGAGGGCATGACTAGTTAAATTTATTCTTATATGCTTTGAAGGCTAATATATATGTATGTATGTAATTGTTTATGGACTAATAAATAAATTAACCATTAGTTACAACAATTATACTAAACTTGATAAGTAATCTTTGACGGTTCGTTGTTTGGGTATAAAGTATATTGGTTAGGGTAAATGGTATAAGGTACAGATAGTTTAGGGAGTATATGGTTAGGGTATAAGATATTGATGGTTTTGACGGTTCTAAGTTTTTTATTAACATATGTTCACTTGAAGTCATTTGATGTCTTTAACGGCAGGAGATCCCTTTTTATTTATGTTTGTGGTACGTGGTTAGGGTACAAGGTATATGATGTAGAGTATAAGATATATGGTTAGGGTATAGCAATTAACAAATATCACTTTTTATCTATGTTTTGAAAATCAAAGTATGAATTTCAGTTTAAATGAACTAAACTAGCAAAATCACAACTCATAAGGACATATGGTTAGGGTATAGGGTATGTGGTTAGTGTATAATGTGTTGATGGTTTAGGGTATACAATCAACAACATATACTAACTTAATATTGTCAATTGAGGGTAAGGCTAAGTGTATAGGATATATGTTATTGAGTAAGTTATGATTGAAGTCCCAATAATTTTACTAGATTTGATAGGTAATCTTTAATGGTTCAATTTTCAGGATAATTCGAACAGTTTTACAAATAACTCGTTTGGCAACAGTTTACTGAAGTTATTTGGGCAATGAGTTATTTTGAAATAACTCCTTTTATCACTCAGCTTTTGCCTAATACCACACGCCAAATACCACATTTGCATGGTTATACTAAATGAGATACTTTAATCCAATTACACTACTGAAATAATACTAAAATATCAAATAAATAATTAATGATATCTTTTGGTTGTAAATATTGATATCACCATTACTATTAGCTAATGTACTTTACCAATTACGGTTAATTACATAACAAGTTTGCAAGTCATACAAATCGATTTAACATTTTGACTCGTTTTTCATTCTCAACCTAAGTAAAATCATTCACATTTAGTTAAGACAGTTCAAAATCTGAAATAAATTGGTTAAAATAAATATATTGTTTTAAAATAAAATTTTTCATTCTCAACCTAAGTAAAATCATTCACATTTAGTTTAGACAGTTCAAAATCTGAAATTCACTTAAAATAATGGTTTTTAATTACAAAATTATGACATGAATTTCTTTAACCAAATTAAAAAAAATAAATATAAAATCAGCACAATGCTAATATTTATAATAAATAATAACTAAGACCTTTTGTCTATAATAATAAACTTTATTATTGGAGAAGATGACAGGGTAAGAACTAAGAAGTAATTTTGGGCGGGTGTGATGAAATTTTGGTTTTGGGCGGGTGTGATGAAATTTTGGGCGCCCAATGTTTTGCAAGCAGAGGGAAGGGTTTTGTGTTTTTGGTGTAATTGTAGTGGCCGGGTGATGATGAAATTTTGAGCGGCCCAATTTTAGTTGTGGTGGGAAGGCGAGATTTCAAATTTCGATTGTGGTGATTTTGACTAGTTTTTCTTAATTAAGTATATATACAAGGTAGAAAGAAATTGATTAAAAATCATGAAAAATATTTTAAATTAGTGCAATAAAATGTGTAAGTTGGTAACGAGTAAGTAACTCGATGCGTTGACCCGAACAACCCGCAACCCAATCCGCCCGAAACCTGCCCGGTCCGAAACCCGATGAACCCGAACCCAATTTGCTCGTAACCCGATTGATCCCAAACCCGATCAACCCGCAACCTGACTAACCCGTAACCCGATTAAACCCGAACCCGATTGAACCCGAACCGATAAACCCGCAACCCGATGAACCAGCAACCCGACTAACCCGCAACCCGATTGAACCCAGCCCGAACCCGCCCGATTGACACCTATAGTAGTGATGGTAATTTGAATCCGTCCTACGGGTATTATCCGGTCTGATCTGTGATGGGGTGGGTATTACCCGACCCGTAGAAGGGTGGGGTGGGGGTGGGACGGGGCATGGATATCTACTTCCGACCCGTCCTGCCCCGCTACGCTATGTTTTTGGCCCATTTTACCTCAAATAATTACAATATCTATTCATATTTCTCATATTTTGACTTTTATTCAACTAGTTAGACTCGATCTTTTAACTAGTTAGACTTAATTACATGTTCTATTATCACTACTTTTCATTTATAAATTTCCCCCCTTCGTTTTATCGTTAAAAGTAAACTTTTGCGTGTGTTTTTTTGTATAACATATAAGAGTGGGTAGACCTGCCCCACCCCGTACACGCGCAGGTATTACCCGCCGCATATTAGTGTGGGGAGGGGAATAGGTATTGAGGTACCTGCCCCGCCCCATTGCCACCACTAGGTTATAGAGAGAGAAAGGAAAGTAAGCGAGAGAAAAAATTATGTCCTCTTTCCTCCCTTCTCTCTCGATTGTTGTCGTTACGACTTGATTCCTCCATTGGAGGAGACCTTGCCGGAACCAAAACAGCCAGACATCTCATCGACAACGACGTTGACTCAGCCAAGTAAGAAAACTAAGGGCTTGTTTGGAGGATGTGATTTCAAGTGAATGATTTAATGAATACATGTAATGGTGAGATTGAGTCGTTTTTCTGGTTTATTTTGCAACAGAATACATGTATTACCTTTTTCTGACCCCACCAACAATCCTTCACATTGAGTGATTTCAAATCTCTACTCAAAGTTGAGATTGTTGATGAAGGATTGTCTGCTAATTTTTTATTCCATCTTTGTCCCTTCTATTTCTATCTTATTTTAGAATTGCCCTCATAATTTGCTTCTCTCTCCCATCGTCGTTCCTCCGCCACTGACTGCATCTCTTCCTTCCTCTCCTCTAGCGAAAGCATCAGGAGTTTGCTCCGGTAAGATTGCGTCTCCTACCTCACTCACACAACCTTCAATTTTCCAAAACGACCTCCATCTAGACTCGATCTCCGAGCTCCCCATCGTCTATTGTCGCCAAGCTCTGCCGCAAAAATTCGTCGCTCCAAGCAATAATAAAGTCATAATGGGGAAAACCTTCACTCACTTTGTCTCACTAATTCTTTCGTCTCCAGAAGTTCCAAGATTCCAAATTTTATTGTTGCAATTGTTGGTTGCAGGGGCGGTGAGGGGAAGGGGACTGGAATAAAAGAATCTGATTTTAGGGTTCTCAAGTGAAAATGCGGCAACTCTCGGAGTGGAAGTTCGAGCCGTAGGGTTGATGATAACGAAAGGGC